GAAGACACTAATTCCGCCGCGCTGAGCGATGGAGACACTAAATCCGTTTTCCAGGAGATTGGAGAGAGAATAGGGAGTTGCTGGCCTGGAGCTTTGCTTTTGAAAAGGCCACAGCTTAGAAAACCCTAGCAAACATGCGGGAGCTCCAGGAGCCAAAATACGCTCAATGGCAAAAAAAAAAAACGAGAAAGGAAAAAAGAGGAGGATCGGAGAGGAAGGGAAGAGGCAGCAGAAGGCAAGGAGAGGAAGAGCGAGGGAGGAGCCCGAGAAGTTGCCTAGGACAGCGGATCGCTAGCTGGGCTCTGACTTCCACGCCCCCGAGCCCCGCAGCGCTCACCCTGGCGGGTCTGGACGCGGACCGGCCGTCCCGTGTGGTCCCGTGTGGCTGTTCGAGGACGACCTTGGCTGCATCATCTGCCACAGGCTGCTGGCCCAGGACCACGTCCCCGCGCCATCCCACAGGCTGCGAGTAGAAGGGCGAGAATCGCAGCTTTCAGTCCTCTCTAGCCTGCCCACCCTGCCTTCCCCATCCTCCCACTTCCTATTTGTTTCCACCACCCCACCCCCATTTCGGCTCTTTTCACTTCTACATCCTTTCTAGTTTCACAATTTAAAAGTTGTTAAGTGTCATCGAGTCGATTCCGACTAATAGGGTTTCCGAGGAGCGGCTGCTGAGTTTGAACCACTGACCTTGTGGTTCAAACCTACCTTGCAGTAGAGTGCTTATCCTACAGCGCCACAGCAAGACTTCAATTTAAAAGTTATTGTTAAAAGATGCCTCCACGTTATTAGAGGGTGTAACTCAAGTCACTATACTTAGGTTTCCCTTGGAAGCATTGGGCCGACTCCAATTTCTAAGACTGCTTTGGACAAGTTTGCTCTCTTGCCCTGGATCTTGTATCTGACCCATGACTTCTGACTTCCAGTTTATGGGACTTTTGGTCCATCCTGTGATCTGATTCACCAGCTCCTGGAGCCTGGGGCGTCTGACTTACCGATTTGGGTGCCTCAGCTCCTGAAACTACATGGGTGAGAAGATTCCTTCTGACTGATATGGGATATGGGACTTGCTGACCTTCACACTTGGTGTGGCATTTTCTTTTGACAATTGTGAGTTTTGTGAGATGTTACAGCATGTTACAGAACCCTGAAACTGGAGTGGAGGAAGGAGTGGTGATGGATATCAGAGATTATGAAGTGGAATTGTGTGTCAGAAAAGCAGAACAATTGGGCTATCTTTAACCTCCAGTTCATAGGAATCAGCCTTGCGCTGACCTTTCTTAAAAAAAAAAAAAAAAAAATTAGTCATGCAAAGGGTAAGTCAAAAAGTATTTCTACTAGGATCCCAGTTTGTATGTGTATAGCTTTATTCCAAACAAAACATGTTAGACATGTCTCTGTGATCAAGAAGTGGCTACAGACAAGTTCGCTCAGTAATACATGTCTTAGTCTCATTAGAGTTCCTTTATGGGGTGGGGTGGGGGAGTCTGATCACAACAGTGGAGTCCTGGTGCAGCGCTGTGAGTTAATGCACTGGGCTTCAAGGTCAGTGGTTCAAGCTCACCAGCTGCTCCTTGGAAACCCTATACAGGGTCACTATGGGTCAGAACTGACTAGAAGAGCCAGTTAAATTTTAAGCACAGAAGGTTATTTTGGGGGTTTTTTTTTTGGTTTTTGTTTTATACTAAAGTGGTAATCTTGAGCGTAGTGGTTACGAGTTATGCTGCCAACCTCAAGGCTAGCAGTTTAAAACTACCAGCAGTTCTTCAGGAGAAAGATGAGGCATTCTGCTCCTGTAAAGATTTACAGCCTCGGAAAACCTGTGCAGTGTCACTATGAGTCAGAACCGACTCCATGGTACTTAACAACAACAACAACAACATAGAATACTCACAGTGACTTATTATGAAGAAACTTTAAGAAAATTACATACTGCATTGGTGAAAAAAAGGCCAGGAAAATTGTACTAAGGAGTTTTCTGTTTTGTTTTGTTTTGTTCTGTTTTGTTTATGCACTTGCTTGTTCGTCAAAGGTAGCAAAGGCTGTCTTACAAGAATTTCATTGAGAAACCTACCTATCCACTTTACAGCCTTGATCTTGCCCCTCCAGACATTTTTTTTTGTTGTTGTTGTTCCCAAAACTCAAAAAACATTGAAAAGGAGCACAATTTGAGTCCCTTGAAGGTGTCCAAACTGCCATTTTGACAGAGTGTAAATCAAAGACTGCAGAATTCTTTGGGGAAACAGATACAGACCCAGAAGTAGTGTCTTCAGATATGACAAGAAACAATAGCCTCACATTTTGGTATTTTTGTTTAATAAAGGTTTCCATGATTTTGTAGCAACAACAACAAAAAAGTTATTGTTAAAGCACAATATACAGTCTTCTCCAGTGCACGTGTAACATTCTCCAGAATTGACCATGTGTTAGGTCACATCAAAATACTACACCAAATACAAACATCAAAATACTAAAAAGCATCTTTTCAGACCACAATGCTATCAAATTAGAAATCAACAATAAGAAGACCAAGGAAATAAAAGTCAAATACATGGAAACTGAATAACACACTGTTGAAAAGCGACTGGGTAAAAGAAGAAATTAAATGTGAATTCACAAAGTTCCTAGAAAAAAAACGAGAATGAAAACATAAGATATGAAAATCTTTGGGACACGGCAAAAGCAGTGCTGAGAGGACAATTTATTGCGATAAATGCACATATCCAAAAAAAGGAAAGAACCAAAATTAACACATTAACACAGCATCTCCAACAATTAGAAACAGACAAACAGAGGGACTTTACAGCCATCAAAAGAAAAGAAATAA